TCCACCGTAAACTTGCCTCAACGAGGCACGTTCAGGGTGGACTCGGATACCCTCCTGGGCGATCTTCCGGAGCTCAAACTAGTAAGAAAGATGAACGGGCGCAATCACCCCGCCTAAGTTTGGGTACATACCAAGAGGTACCTCCTCGGGGCTGTAGCTGAGAAAGGATTGTTGTACCATGTGTGGGCACGATGCTCCCCGGGCGTGATATAAGCAGGTTTTGGAGTCCCTCATGTACTTCTGCATGTCTTCTGTGGAATCCTCCGGTTTCGGCGCGTCTTCCGGAGGTTCACTTGGAGAAAGCGGGGTAAGGAGAAGTTGTGGTCACGTCGAAACGCCTTCTCGCAAGTGTTTCAATGCTGACCGAACCCTTGTCTACGCCCACGGTAATCGGCCGCCGCCCCGTAGAGAATGACAGTTCTCCGAGATCATTCGCCACAAAGTCGGTGCTGAAAGGCCACAAGAAGCTTGTCCACCTCATGTCTGGCGTCAGCGGTTGCCATGTCAACAACGTGTTATACTAGCTTGCCCTGCACGACATTTCGAAACATACGGAGGGTACCGTGGGGCAAATTGGGAACGGAGTTAATTGTCCGTAATCGCAACAGCTAATGGCTTCCTCTCTCCTGACGGCATGGCTCCACGCTGGTTGCACACGATGTTGCTAGGATGAGAAAGGAGGGAGTATTGGAACTTGTCCTCGGGCCGAAATACGCTGCCCAATCGTCAGTACGTCAAGCGTCAGGATTGTTTTGTCAAAACCGTTCCCATATCTCCCGTTCCCCGGACCCCGTCTGCCTCTCGTTCCTTCCTTTTTTCCGCGCGAAAGCTACCGTGCTTGGGCTACACAAGGCCTACCAACCGGGTGGGCTTCGCCATATCGACGTACCAACCCAACGTGGACCGCGCCCCCTACCGCCCAACAAACCACTCCAGGCGAAGGAGCGTCACGCCAAGGAGAGCAAACCCTAAGCCTAGCCCTAAGTGTCCTTGGCGTGGAGAGGTTTGTTGGGCAGAAGGGGACGCGGTCCACGTTGGGTTGGCACCTCCATACGGCGAAGCCCACCCGGATGATGGGCCTT